TAACCCTAATACGAGCTCTGGCCCTAACCCTAAAGTCAAAGAAAAAATATTTTTCTTTGTTTATTTTGTATAGCTACATTACACAACATTATAATAATAATCATAGGTGATTATCACCTAAGGTGAAAATTAGTTAATTTCTTTTATTAATTTTATTTTATTTTTATTATTAATTTATATAAATTAAATTAAATTTTTTTTAATTTGTTTATTATTGTTTATAATAAATTAATTTTTTAAATTTTTTATTTTTATTAAATTTTATTTTATTTTTTGTTATTAATTTATAATAAATTAATTTTTTAATTTTTTTTAATTTTATTAATTTTATTTTGTTTTTTGTTATTAATTTATAATAAATTAATTTTTTTAATTTTTTTTATTTTTATTAAATTTATTTTTTATTTATTTTTTTTATTTTTATTAAATTTTTTTTAATTTTTTTTAATTTTTTTTATTTTTTTATTTTTATTAAATTTTTTTTATTTTTTTATTATTAATTTATAATGAATTAATTTTTTGAATTTTTTTATTTTTATTAAATTTATTTTTATTTATTTTTCTTTATTTTTTTTTTTTTGTTGTTTTTATTTTTTTATTTTTATTTTTATTTTATTTTTTTAATTATTATTTTTTTTTAATTTTTTTATTTTAATTAAATTGTTTTTTATTTTATTTATTTATTTTTTTTTTATATATCTTTTTTAAATAATTTTTTATTTTTAATTTAATTTTTTTTAAAAAAATATATTTTTTTAGTTACCTGAATTAAATCCGAATTGGATTCATTTTGGACCAAGTTTGGGTTCAGTTGAACCAAGTTTGGGTTTATTTGAACCCGAATTGGGTTTTAATGAACCCAAAATTGGTTTGAATAAACCTGAATTAGGTTTGAATGAACCTGGATTAGATTTAATGAACCTGAATTAGGTTCGAACGAACCTGAATTAGGTTCAAATAAACCTGAATTAGGTTCGAACAAACCTGAATTAGGTTCAAATGAACCTGAATTAGGTTCGAACGAATCTGAATTAGGCTTAAAAAAACCTGAATTAGGTTCGAATGAACCTGAATTCTGTTCAAACGAACCTGAATTAGGTTCAAATGAACCGGAAATAGGTTTAATTAACCTGAATTAGGTTCGATGAACCTGAATTGGAGTGCGAAGGTGGGTGGGTAGGTAGAGGAGATAGAGGGAAAAATTCGTGTTCAAAAAAAAAAAAATAATTATGCGATACGTACCTACTTTATTCTAGATGATTGATGTGATGAATTGTGGGATGTGACAAATAAACATTTACTAATTAATTATATTAGTAGATGTTTATTTGTCACATAATAATTCATCACTCTTTCGCTAAACTTGAAAAACCAAAAAAAAAAATTCTCACATAAATTTAGTGACAGAAAATCGCCCATTTTCTCACATAAATTTAGTGATGTAGAATCATGCTTTATTTATATAGATTCTAATTCTATTATTGATGAGAAAAATAAATACTCTACTAACTTTAAAATAATTCAACTATTTTAATATTTAAATATACAAATAATTATACATGATAGTATAACATAGTTATATACTATCACATATACTACATATCTTTTTGAAAAATTATTCAATTAATATAAGTTTTATAACACTTTTAAAAAATAACTAAAAACAAAAAACATACTTTATTTAGATTAACTCACTACTATGGATAATAATACTCTTTTAAAATAGGAATATTTATTACTACAAACTAGGTATCTACTTAAAAGCAAAACACCAACTTGGTTTAAATATCTTGAAAACACCTTAATTACAAATGGCTCTTCTTAGTTAATTACTAATTATAATAATAACTCAATTATTATAGGCAATGCTTAATTATTTAATGCCTAACATAATACAATTTTTATCACTCATTAGATATATAATATTGATTATATAATTACAGAATATTATCCAACTTTACCTATAACTTGTAGTCTCTGCACTAGATAAGACTTAAACTTCAACAAAATTAGAAATCAATATTCTATTAATATTTTAGCTACTTTATCAACAAAATTTTGAGAAAAAAAAAATAAAATAAATTAATAATAAAAAAAAATAAAAAAATAATAAAAAAATAATAAAATCAATCTAAAAAAAATAAAATTTAATTTATTAATAAAATAATAGATAAATAATTTATTATCAAATAAAAAATTAAATATTAAATTATTTATTTAAAAAAAATAAATATTATTTAAATAAAAATAAATATAATATTTATTTAATAAAAAATTAAAACTAAATACTTTAAATTAAATATATTAAAGTTAAAATAAATTTAATTTAATATTTAATTTAAATAATAAATTTAAATTTAAATTTAAATTTAAATTATAATTAAAATTAAATTTAGAATATTATAATTAAATTTAAAATTAAATTTATACTTAATGTTAAAGTTAAATTTAAAAAATTATAATTAAATTTAAAATTAAATTTAAAATTAAATTTAAATTTAAAAAATTATAATTAAATTTATAGTTATAGTTAGAGTTAGGTTTAGGTTAAAGTTAGAGTTAGGGTTAAGGTTAGGGTTAGGGTTAGGGTTAGAGTTAGGGTTAGGGTATAAGAGGTTTTAGTAAAATACTGAAGCGAAGGTGACAGCCGTAGCGAAAGTATAACCTTTATTTTTATATAATCTTAAAAATTTAGAATTTAATTTTATAATTTTGTATCTAATAATTATTTAACTTTAAAAACTAAAAAAAAAATACTACAAATTAAAATATAACTTAAATCTAAAACCTATTTTTAATAATAAAATTAATAAATTACAAAAATAAAAATAATAACAAAATAAATTTAAAAAAATTTGAATAAAAAAAAATTAACAAATAAATATAGTGATAGTAGTAAATAAATAAATTATTTAAAAAAAAAATTTATTGATTTAATTTAAAGAAAATTATTTATCTAATTCAAAAAAAATTGTTTAATAAAAAATATTTATATAGAATTATTTAAAAAATACCAACTTCAGACCACAGAACCTGAATTTGAGTTCAAAAGAACCTGAATTCGGGTTCAAGAGAACCTGAATTTGGATTCAAAGAACCTGAGTTTGGGTTCAAAGAACCCGAATTCGGGTTCAAGAAAACATGAATTCAGGTTCAAATAAACCCAAATTCGGGTTTAAATAAACCTAAATTCGGGTTCAAGAGAACCTAAATTCGGGTTCAAGAGAACCTGAATTCGAGTTCAAAGAACCTGAATTCGGGTTTAAGAGAACCTGAATTCGAGTTCAAAGAACCTGAATTCGGGTTCAAGAGAACCTGAATTCGAGTTCAAAGAACCAGAATTTAGGTTCAAGAGAACCTGAATTTAGGTTTAAGAAAACCTGAATTCGAGTTCAAAGTACCCGAATTCGGGTTCTAGAGAACCTGAATTTGAGTTCAAAGAACCTGAATTCAGGTTCAAAAAAACATGAATTTGGGTTCAAATAAACCCAAATTCGGGTTTAAATAAACCTAAATTCAGGTTCAAATAAACCCAAATTCAGGTTTAAATAAATCTAAAAAATTAAAATAAATTTTTTTTTAAGAAAAATTAAAGACTAGCACTCGGGGCAATACCCAGGCCTAAAAGCTAGTAGTGAAGAATATTTGTAGTAGACCACAAATTGTTTTATAGTTGTTAGATACAGATTTTAGTTGTTGTTTTAAGAGATTTGAGTTATTAAGGCAAAGTAAGAATTTTGAAATATGGTATTGAAGTTGTATGTCCTATATATTTTTAATTCCATAGATATTATAGTTGTTTTTGATAGAATAATATTGTAGATTCAGTATTTAAGAATTAGAATAATAACTGTATTTATAATATAAGCTACTTGTTTATCAGTTATTTGTTTGATTTTAAGTATATTAATAAGATTTTGAGATTCTTGAATAATTAGTTTAACTTGTTAGATTTGTTGGTAGTTAGATAAAAACCAACATTCTAAAAACTTAAAAAAAATATTTTTAGATTATAGAGAAATTGTTTGTTAGATAAATTTAATAAATAATAGGCTTTTTGAGTTAGTACTAGGAATAGACTTAAGTTTAAATTAGCTAATGTGAAAAATGATGAGACTAATTCTAGAATTTGTTTAAGTTTATTTTTTGAAAAAATTATCAATAGTGTATCATCTATGAATGTAAGAACAGATATTGATGTTTGAAGTTGTTTAGAAATTTTTGTTTTGAGATCTGTAGTCTATGAGATTTCTAGGTTATAACCTTTATATGTTTTAGCAATTTGAGTTATTAGAGAATCATAGTAAAAACATCATAAGAAAGGTATAATTGTTTCTCCTTAGTTAATACTATTTTTAACTGTATAGGATTGTGTAAGTTCAAAGTTAGTAATAATTTTGCTAGAATAGTCTGAGAGTAGATTGAGTATAATTTGAATAAGTTATAGTAGAAGTTGAATTCTTGCAAGTGCTTTTTGAAGCAAGTTTATATTAACTGAGTTATATGTTTTGCTTATATTCTGTAATAGTAGCTAAAGCTCTTTGTTATTATAGTAAGAATCCTTAATAATATTATTAAGAATGTGAATTGAAGTAGAAGTACTATTTTCTGAGAGAGCAACATAATTAAGTAGTGATAAGATTTGTTTAAATATTAAAGAAATATTAAGCTAGTTTGTAAAGATTTTTGTATAGAGTTTTTTCTTATGTTCAATGAGACTAATTAGTCTAGTATTATATAAGTTGCTATCAAATACTAGTTTTTTTGAAATTAGAAAGATATAATACTTTTTTCATAGTTTGGGAATTGTTTAAGATATTTAACATCTTTTAAGCAAAATTGAGATTATTTGCAAAAACAGATTATCTATATGTTTAAGCATTTTATAACTATAATAATATCTAATGGACTATATACTTTATTATTAGAAAGGTTTGAAAGAGTTTGGATAATTTCTTCTGTTGTAATAGTATTAAGAATATTGTTGTAATAAGAAGGTTAATTGAAGGAGTAGATTTGTAGCAGTTTTTCTAGGTCAAGTCAAAAGTTTGTTGATTAATAGGTTTATATTCAGTCTATTAATTAAAATAATCTTTAATTTTTTCTTTAATAAGATTAGGATCAGTAGTTAGATCTATATCTGTTTGTCAGTATGCCTATTCAAAATACTATTAATCATTTTTGTTTGCTATGTTTGAAGAGCTAAATATCTTTTTTCAGTTGCTGCATTAATCTGTTAACAGATATGTATAGAGTTTTCTGTTTCTTGAGCTTTGTATAGAGTTTTTAATATATTTGTATATTATTAAGCTATGTTGAAATTTCATTGTTGTTAGAAGAAAAGTTGTTAATATTAAGATTTTGTTGTTAGTTAATTTTGTTAATTAAAGATAAAATATTAGTTGAAATTAGAAGATTGTTGTTAAATGCATGTTTAACTTGATAAATAATTTGTCCTGTTAATTTTAAAGCTTAGTGGAGTTGTATAGCTTTTTGTGAGTGAGTATGGTGAAAATTCTGAAAATTAATTTTTTTGTTAAGTATTATTTTAAAAGCAGCAGAAATAATATTTATTTGGATTTTATACTAATATATTTCAAGAGAATTATTAGTATCTAATTCAAATAGCATATTGTTTTAGCTTAAATTATAATTAATTTAGTTTATAAATTCTTCACAAGTTTCTTTGTTTATAGAGCTATAGTTAAAGATTCTTCTATTTGCTTTAAATTTTTTGTTATGTTTAGATATATTAACATAAAAAAATAGCTATAAAAATACAAGTATTATATAGTCACTTCGTGTTGATATTAATAGTTCTTCTAAACTAAACTTTTGTAGATATAGTATTATAGATTTATAATACTATATATAATCAATTCTAGTTTGTAATTGATTATTATACATATATAAGATATGTTAGAAGTATAGTTGGCAAGATTGTATAAGTTGTTACTTGTAAGAAAGTTAATAAATCTAGATTTTGAGTTATTTGAACTTGTTGTAGAGATATCTATATTAAAATTTCTAAGTACTATTAGATAGAGTTGTTAGCTTAGTGCTTGTTAGATCTATTGACAAACTTTGGTTTGTGTAGAGTTTCTATGTGATATATCTGTAGAAGACAAATATACTGAGA